CCAGGCTGAAGTGGCCCATTGAGCAACCAGCACAAAAAATGAATAGGGTTCCATCAAACACAACACCATGAAATTTCAGAACACAAGGACAAAGAAAAAGTACCAGAAGATTCCAGTGTGGGCTCCTGGGCACACTGCCTACAGGGTAGCCCTGCTCCACATGGAGCAGTATTTAAAAAAAAAAAAAAATCCGGGTGCGGGGGCTCATGCCTGTAATCCCAGCACTTTGGGAGGCCGAGGCGGGCGGATCACCTGAGGTTGGGAGTTCGAGACCAGCCTGACCAACATGGTGAAACCCCATCTTAAAAAAAAAAAGATTCCAGTGAAATAAAAACAGGTACATTCAGAGGGCTAGGGATCAGAATAACTTTGGACTTCTCAACAGCAGCTCTGGAACCTAGAGGATAATACAGCAAGGCCTTCAAAGTTTGAAAGTAACGTATATCTATTCTAGAATTATGTGTACCTAGCCAAACTATCAAATGGGAAAGTAGAATACATTTTCAGACACTCAAGGTCTTAAAATTTTTTACCTGCCATATATCCTTTTCCAGGAATCTACAAAGGATAACCTCCACTAAATAAGATACTTAAAAAGAAAAGAGAAAAAAAAAGAGGAAGCCATGGGATGCAAGAAGCACGAGGTCTGTCACAGGAAAGAGGCAAAGGGAATCCCCAGGATGATGAGGAAGGGGGATTCCAGGATGGCATCTGTGCTCGGGGAGTAGAGGGCACCAGTCTAGACTGGAGCAGGCAGGAAGGCTCTCCAGGAAGATGAAACTGTTAGAAAAACTAATAGGTCTGTCTTCAGAAGAAACGCAGATAATTTAGGAAGAGTTTGGGGTTGAATTAAAGATAAAAGTTTAGGCCAGGAGCGGTGTAATCCCAGCACTTTGGGAGGCCGAGGTGGGAGATCACTTGAGGTCAGGAGTTCAAGACCAGCCTGGCCAAAATGGTGAAACCCCATCTCTACTAAAATTACAGAAATTAGCTGGGTGTGGTAGTGCACACCTATAATTCCAGATACTCCGGAGGCTGAGGCAGGAGAATCACTTGAACCCAGGAGGTGGAGTTTGTAGTGAGCCAAGATTGCGCCATTGCATTCCAGCTTGGATGACAGAGTGAGACTCTCTTTCAAAAATAAATAAATAAAGGCCGGGCGCGGTGGCTCAAGCCTGTAATCCCAGCACTTTGGGAGGCTGAGGCGGGTGGATCATGAGGTCAAGAGATCGAGACCATCCTGGTCNTAATCCCAGCACTTTGGGAGGCTGAGGCGGGTGGATCATGAGGTCAAGAGATCGAGACCATCCTGGTCAACATGGTGAAACCCCGTCTCTACTAAAAATACAAAACATAAGCTGGGCATGGTGGTGTGTGCCTTTAATCCCAGCTACTCAGGAGGCTGAGGCAGGAGAATTGCCTGAACCCAGGAGGCGGAGGTTGCTGTGAGCCGAGATCGTGCCATTGCACTCCAGCCTGGGTAACATGAGTGAAACTCCGTCTCAAAAAATAATAATAAATAAATAAATAAATAAATAAAGATAGGAGCTTAGAAAACAAAGCAAGCAAAAAGTCAAGATAATTACTAACCCCAGGGAAAACAAAACTATGCAAAAAGCTAGCTGTGAATTAGAAGAGTCGTAATATAAATATTGATCCAACCAAAATTACTAGAAAACTACGTTGGGAGATTGGGGGTGGTTGTAGTTACTGTATGTTGGTCCAAGTCAGCTTTTGTGGAAGAGAGTTAGAAAGCCCGATTTGCATTGTTTGCTGATTTCTGTGGTGTATACTTCCAGTATGGCTAATTTCAAGTTACCAATGTCATATCACTGAACATGAATTTGGAAAAAGATATGCAATAACAGTTCTTGCTAGCTGCTGCAACCCAGCTCTAGCACACCATTGGGTGGAGGTGGGGGTTGAGGAACGCAGTTAAATCCTCACCTTCTAGAATGGAAAGTCAGCAGATACTATCAGAAACTGAAACATCAAGACGTAGCAATAAAAGCACATTACTTAGAGATTTTGAGATAAATATGAAAATAACCAGCTAAAAAGAGTTGAACACGGTTGGAGAGAAGGGGAGGATGGGAAATATGACTGCTTTTTGTGAACAACCCTGTAGATCTATTTGATTCTTCAAATCATGTGCATATAACAGCTCTTATTTTGTTTTCTTTTGTAGAGGTGGGGGTCTTACCATATTGCCCAGGCTTGATTTTTCTTTTTTTTTTTTTTTTATTTTTAAAACTTTTTGAGAGACAGCATCTTGCTTTGGTCACCCAGGCTGGAGTACATTCTCGTGATCACAGCTCACTGCAGCCTTGAGCTCCCAGGCTCAAGTGATCCTCCCAACTCGGCCTCTTGAGTAGCTGACTACAGGCACATGCCACCATGCCCAGGTAAATTTTTTTTTGGTAGAGATAGAGTCTTACAATGTTGCCCAGGCTGGTCTCAAACTCCTAGCCTCAAGTGAACTTCCTATCTCAGCCTTCCAAAGTCCTGGGATTATAGGCATGAGCTACCATGCCTGGCCTCTGGGTTTTTTTTTTTTTTTTTTTTTTTTTTTAGCTAGAGTTTCACTCGTGTTGCCCAGGCTGGAGTGTAATGGCATGATCTCGGCTCACAGCAACCTCCATCTTCAGGGTTCAAGAGATTCTCCTGCTTCA